GGAGCCCAGTGGATTGTGTCTTACTGGACACTATAAATAAGAGTTGTCAAGATGGGACTAATCCCTTGGGGATGGGAGGGGTGAGGAGGGAGGGGAGTAGATACATGATCAGTTTCTAGGCTATGCCTCTCTGATCTTTGGGTTCTACCCGGAGGAGTCCATCAGGCACCTCAAAAACAGCCAGTAACTGAGAACAGAGTCTATCTACCTAAACAGGAGTCAAGGGACCTCTTTCTGAGTCCACCCCAAACTCCCACTACCCTCAGGGTTTCAAGCCCGGCTGTTTAAATGGTACCTTAGTTAAGACAGAAGCACTTTAAACAAACATTGAGAGCAGGAATAACAATAATAACGGTAAACAAAGCCTCACACCAACTCAGGAATTGGAATTTAAATTATACATCCTGCAGCACGTGATACAAAGAGGCTTTCTGTGCTCACATCAATAATACAACAAAGAGAGCCAATGTTAGTAAAACATGGTGGTGTGCACTGCAGCCCCTCATTTACCACCGTGACAATTCCATCTTCCCAAATGCCAATCCCCCCCAGAAGAAAAGAAGGGGACTGCAAAACATGGAGAGCATTATGTCTTGAGAGCAGAGAATCAGAGTGAAGCCTCCAAAACTCACCCTGACTAGACAGGAAGTCCCAGAGACAAAGAGATAACTATTGAAGGAAAAGGACTCAATGAAAAGAGAGATGTATCTATGTATATACCTATAGATAGTTTTAAATATATCTAGATCTAGTTATGTAGCTCATTATTTATATATCCATATGTAATATATAGTTATCTATATAGAGACCTACATATGCAGATAAATAGATACCCACACATAGATATCTATATATAGACACGGGCATATATTGAAGGTTGAGCCATCTCCCAGAGAAGTCAGCTTTATTCTAGCAATTTTTTCCCTCCTGGGAAAAATCTCAGGAGTTTGAAGAACTTCTTGCTGGGTCCTCTGCATCCAATGCTTCCTTTCATCATTGCTCTGCACCCTGTTATCAAACACAGTAACAAATATTTTCATCTCCAGGAATATCGAGGCTCTAGCAAGGCTGGAAGCTTTTGCGTCTTCCATCCTTTGTTCCCTCCTGGCAGAAATGTTAATTGTGTAGATATTGGGGTGGGGTGGAGGGGGATAAATCTGTCTCCTTTCAGGATGCATTCTCCCTGCTGATCCTTTTCTTCCAAATTGTTATTCTCAAACTTCATGGGGTTTTTCACCTGCAGAGTGCATTAAACATTATCAATGAACTCATCCTCTCTGTGACTCTGTCATGTTGAGTTTGGGAAGCAGAGGGTAAGAAGGCAGATGACTGGCTGCCATCCATCTCCAATTTCAGGCCCATATTTTCCACATCCAGATAAAGGACAAAAATTCATCTTTAAGGACGTGTTTAACAGAAGAAAGGAAAAAGTTATTTTCTATCTTTTGTACTGAAGAACTGAGTGTTGGCACAGGATTCCTGAGTGATGGTTGCAGGGGGTTAGTCCTTGATGTGGAAGAGAAATGAGTTGAATCTCACTCTGGTTCTTATTGGGAGAGATTTCATTCCATTATTCCTCCTTATGATTGCATAAGAATCACTCCACAACATCTTCTCCCACTCTTCATCTTTGAAGTCCTGCAGAAATCTGAGCTCTCATTATTTTCTTCTCTCTTATCCTCTCTCCTCCCATTTCTTCTCTGCACTTCTGCTGTGTGTGTTGGTTAGGGGCATCAGCAGGAAAGGAGCTATTTTAACTATATCTTTCTTGACCCCTTTAGATGTGGCTGACATTTAGCTTTCTGAAGACGTGGGCTGCCTCTGGCAGCCTAGCTAGGACTTGGGTGTGGGATTCGGTATTTGCCTACATTGTCTACATGAAATACAGAAACAGTCACAATTATCACTCACTGTTGAGTTAGACTGAAAAATCACGAATCATCATGTGGAGGGACAACCTTCCCGAGAAGTGAGAGAAGCTTCCTTATAGGTTCATAGACCTAGAGTCGTAACACTAACGACCCTGAGGTATTAGTCTGGCGAGGGAGTCATTTGCTTTGTGTTGGCAAATTCTTCGAAATCCAAGACCAAACCTGTGTAACTTACCTATTCAGCATTTAGCACTGTGTCACTCACATATGGGTATTTAATAAAAGCATTCCAAAGACAGTCGTGATGACATAGAAGAAAGTCAGGCTGTCTGTTCCATGCTGCTGCTAGTTCCATATGTGACCCTAAGTGAGTTCATTCTCCGTCCATAAAACGAACATGCCAGCCTCATGCTGTCTCATAACACAAGATAAAGATTCTACACCAAACAGAACATAAGGAATTGCGCAGACCAGGACTCTATTCCCTGATATATTCTTTTTCCAATGTACTGTAGGGCACCCTTAAGACCTGAAAAATTATTGTATCTTGCTCTCAAAGCCTACCTTGCTGAGCGTGATATTTACTTATGTGATATCTCATATGCAAAGTTCTCCAAGCCTTGGAGATGCCCCATCAGACATGTCTCATAGTCTACTCAGTTCTGACTTGATGATGGGACCAATCGAAAATGTCTGTTCAGATTCCCAGACAACTGAATGTTCTTTGCTGTGGCCACCAATCAGAACCTGGCACAATTACAGCTGGGTACTGTTACTCACCAGGTGTACATTCTCTTAGAAGTAGCCTGATTTTGAATAGGCAAATGTACCTGATAACGGCCTGGTCCGCTAGCAGTCTGCCTGGCTGGCTCAGATTCCATTTGACATAAATATCCGCAATTGTTTGTCTAGTGGAGATCATGACTTGGGATGATGGCCTGGCTGTAGTGAATAACTCTTGGTACCATCCCCCTAATAATGCTATACTGGCAGATTTAAGTAGTGGCCATTCTCATAGTATCTGCATCAGCGCTGGGCTACCTTGTTCATCAATTACATGGAAATTTTTCTGTTCCAGGGTTAACTCCTCCGGCCTCAAAAAGCAGCCCTTCTGGGGAAAAGAGACCTGTCTTCAAGAGCTGCCAAATGGGTAATTGCACTAAGGCTCACTGAGTGCCTGTGCTAATCCATCCCACTCAGGCTCCTGATGATACCTGTCACTCAAGGAAACCTTATTTGTTTGCAGGATTGCTTAGGCTCTCAGTTTTCCCAAATAGGCTGCAAGATTTGCTATCTCCTCTCCACCCCCTCAGCCCTTACCCCAGTCCAAGGCCAAGAAAGCAGAGTTTTCCCAGCCTCCTCTCTTGCTTGTGGGGGCAGCCAGCCCCCATCTGAGGTCGCTCTCTCCACCCGGACTGTCAGTCAGCCTCCTTGAATGCAGTCTGAGGTGGAAGGGGAGTGGGCTGGAAGGTGGGCGTGGGTGGCACCAACCCATTATTTTCCTCGGCTGAAGCTGTTTTATCTTCTTACGGGGGAGGCCTTTCTCTTTGATTCAGCTTCCTAGAGAGCAGCCAGCCCACTCTAAGCTTCAGCGTGGAGAATCCTCTTCATAGAATTAATGGCTGTTGACCGACCTCTTGGATGAAGCCGAATTTTTTGGCACAAAGAAATTCAGGGAAGTGGTTGAATCCAAACAAGACTGAAGATTGGAGTCAGGAGGTTAGAGAGATTGACTTGGTGAGAAGGAAGCCACCAGGGATTACCAAAAGCCACACTCCAGCTCAGCTCAACCCAGCCCAACCAATCAACCAACACCAGGCCAACTCCCTGCTGGAATGAAAGAGGAAAGGGGCCTTCAGCAAAGTAAGGGAACAGAAAGTGAGGGAAGCAGCCAGTAGACAAAAAGAGAGACCTCGGGGTCTGTCTTTGAAAATGAAAAATGAAAAAAAATTTAAATGCAGTGACAAGTCAAAGCATGAAGGCCCAAGTGGTAGTGATGGTGGCACTGCATTGTTCTATCTAAAGGGGCCAAGGAAACACCTGGCCTGGCAAAGGCCAAATTCTACCTTCCATAGTGAGAATGAAATTGGCCTAGTGGACAGGGTAGATGGACTGGAATGCCCCCGCTTCAGTGTGCCCTTCTCCCTTCATACTACCCCAAGGTCTGAGTTTTGGTTAAAGGCCAAATGGAATGATATTCAACACTGGTATCCTTAATTTCTCACTTACTGCCATTAAGGCTGAAGGTGTAGAGCTTTTTAAACCTAAAGTTCTGAGGAAGCAACTCTTGGTTCTCCAATCATTCTCTCCTGCAAGGTGAGTGAGCCTCTGTGTGAAGTACAGGGTAGAAAGGGCCATCGGGAATGGGTCATGGGCTCCTGGCCTAATTGGATTAGGATTGTGCCAGTGATAACACTAGAGGGAGCCTAAAACTCACTGCCATGGAAAGGGAAGGTAGGTACTGTATTCTTCCTGGGAAAGCTGAAATCACAATCCTGTATGCTTCTTATGCCAATATTACTTATGCAGTGCAGCTGGGAGGCCTGAGAGTACGATGAAGGGCAGAGGGAACTGTGAACTGTTCAGTTGTTTTTCAGTCGTGTCTGACTGTGAGAAGAGTCAAAACTCCAAAAACAATACCTAGCTGGCTATTCTTCAACATTAAACTGTGTTCTGAGGCTCACCTTCGGCTGGCTGTTGACAAAGGTGAGGGTGGCCCTACTAATGGGACTTTGGAGTAAGAGACAGACCTTTCCCAGCTCTAGTGCTCCCAGTGAATAAAAGCCCAAGGCCCACCATCAAAGGACTTTGAGTCTATGTACACGTTGAGGTTCTTTGGGAGGCCAGGATAAAGATTCCCTAGTCTGCTTAACTCAGGCTTACAATGTATGTGTCTATTTCTTGACCTGTCCCTGCAGCTCTGGTGCCCCATTGCCATCAACAGGGAAGGGAAACACCCTTTCCCCCCAGCCCCGATGTTAGTTACTGGCCCAAAAATTCCACAGAGCCTAGGTCTTTTACCAAAGCCCAGGGCACCTCCTGGGGCATTCTTTCAGAGCCCCCTTCTTCACCTTTCAGAGTCCCTCACCCTTTCCTACAATGCCTTTTATCTTCAGCTCTCTCAAGAGTCAGCAAGAGAGGCTGCCCCCCAGTGCCTGCTGAGAAAAACATAGTGTTTTTCAAAATAAATAAATTTTTTTTTAAAAAAATCCCTCCCCAAACCCTCACCAAAAGAAAAAAATAAACCCCACACCAAACCCATGAAAAGCCAGAAGAGAAAACACCAAGGTCTTTGGCCCAAAGATGCTTAACACAGTCTCTTCTGGACTCCCTGCTGGTGGCTCTGAGGCTCACAGCTGCTGTGGGATGCCCTGTTCCTTGTAGCCTGTGTGGAAGAAGAAGAGAAAATGTGGTTAGAATTACTGTTCCCTGTTTAGTTCATACTGACGTGGAGTGTGGGGTCCTGTCCTCACCCCTGTGGCAGAATGAGGCCACTGCTTTGTGTTTTACAAAATAATCCTTATGGTCCCAACCCTGACCTAGGCAGCCTGGTTCAGTAGAAAGAGGTGGGCTGGATTTGGAATCAACTGATCTGATTTTGAGTCCCTGCCCTTTGGCTTATAAATTGATGTGACCTTGGACAAAAATACCTTAAGCTGTAAAATGAGGGGGATGGGCTTAGATGAGCTCTAAGGCCCCTTCCATCACAAAATCTACAATCCCCCTGCCCTCTCTGAGCTTTAGTTTCTTCATCTGTAGAGCTCTGGACTTGGAAAAAGGAAGACCCTGTCTTGGACACTTAATTTTGTGACTCTGGGCAGGTTTTTTTTCTCAGCTTCTCACTTCCTCATCTGTAAAATGGGAATAATAGCAGCACCTATCCCTGCCTTCCAGAGTTGTTGTGAGGATCAAATAAAGTAATATATGTAAAAGGCTTTACAGACCTTAAAAAGTACAATATAAAGGTCAGCTGTTATTATTAGTTATTAGGTTTCTAATAAAATAGGAACCCAGAACATTTGCCCTCCTTACATATCTCAAAGAGCTACTGAGGATCAAATGAGTAAATAGACATAAAACATTTTGTAAATGTGAAATATTATGCAAATATTACCTCTTACCTAGTTTTAAAAATTAGTGTAATGTGGGTGTGGTGAATGCCTTGACCACTTAAGATGATGTCATCCACACGGAAGATGTTTCTGCAAGCCTGGAGAACTGGCTTATGTGTAGACAGTCTACATTGGCCTACCGGGTGGTTGGGAGCATTCTTTTTCCATTGGTTGCGTATCCAGAACTGACTAAGTCTTTAAATTTGACAGGGTGAGGTGGGAGATGAGTGAGGGGAACTTTTTTTACTATACTTCTGTCTGAGAGTGAAGAATTTCTTCACTCCCACATGGGAGGGCCCCAAGCCCCATTAGCTCATATGGCCCCAGGGATCTGGAAGTGAAGGAATCTAGGCTGGGTATTACAGTCAGCTCAGCAGCAAAGTCCTAAAGAATAAGGATTTGGAGACGCCTGCTCAGCTGGGTTTTAGACATGAACTCGGTAAGACTAATGTTAGATAAGAACAAAACTAAACTTCGAGTTTAATCTCCCTTCCCTCCCCAGAGACTGAGGTCGTAGAGGTGAGATTATGCTCCTAAGATATTAGGGGAAATATTTGTTCTTGCTGTGTCTTTGAAGTAAATATCCCTCTGTAAAAATTTATCTGGTGTTAGGGAAGAGCTGGGGCCCCAGGAAAAAAAAAGGAGGAACACGGTCAATGGGGTATTGAGTCAGCAGCAGAGGAAAAAGACTCCCCAGTCACATCAAGGTATCAAATAACACTAAGGGAGGAAAATGTAGCAGGCCTGATCCTGGACAAAGGGGCCATTGTAAACCATGTTGTTGTTCAGTCCAACTCTTCATGACCCCATGGACCATAGCACCCTAATACCATGCATGGGGTTTTCTTGGCAAAGATACTGGAGTGGTTTACCATTTCCTTCCCCAGCTCATTTTACAGATGAGGAAACTGAGACAAACGGGGCTAAACGACTTGCCCAGGGTCACACAGCTACTAAGTATCTGAGGGCACATTTGAACTCGGTCTTCCTGATACCAGACCCAGAGCTCCATCCACTGAGCCACCTCGCTGCCTCCACGTTACAACAACAATAGCAGACATTTGTATGGCACTTTTAAGTTTACAAAAGGCTAGACATGTACTAAACTCATTTTAGCCTCACAACAGCTCTGAGTTAAGGGCTACAGGTATTAAAAGGAGGAACAAAAATGTAGGGCCTTCAAAGCCCCATGAAAAGCTGTGGGAGGAAGGATGCTCACTAATGAACTGATGGTCCCCCAAGAATTTTGAGTCAAGTGCTTTGTGTCCCATTGGCAATAGAGCTACCATAAAGCTTCCCCTCCCTCCAAGGTTGTCCTGGAGAAATCGTGAAGCTGGTGAAATTAATTTTTCTTTGTCTCCGGCCTCCTCTTTCTGGGGCTTTCCCCTTATACCCCCTGGTTCCCTCATTCCTCAGGCAGCTAGTGTCCAATTCTCTCCACCAATTCTCTCTTATCAAAATCTGCTCTCTGGAACAAGTCTGATAAATTCATAAACACTGTGGTGTCAGTGACTAGCATAGTTTAACCTACTTCCTCTCTCCGGGAATGCTTGCATTTTAACAGGGGGCAAAGGCTATAATGGTAGAATTTCAGACATAGGCCAAAGTAACAGTGGATATTCCTGAATATTCCAAGTAACTGAGGGCAGGAGGAGAGGGGAATGGAACCAGCTGGGAGCCTGGTATCCCTATACTGGACAAGGTCTATAAGACTCCCCTCTGTGGCTATGACCCTGAAGCATAGACTCTTGGAACTGGATGCCTGTGGTCTGGGTCTGGGAAAATCCCTTTGATAATTAATTGGGGGGGGAGGGCTGGAAGATCGATTTTCCTGTGTGACCCAATAAGACGATGGGTGAAGCCAGGCCACCCTAGACTCACCTTGAGAAACTGGATAGGAAGTACGAAGATGTGAAGCAGGCGTGAGAGAGAGAGGAAAAAAAGAGAGAAAGAAAAACACTGTCTGAAAAGGATGATCACAGGAACATTTGAAATATCCAAAGGGAGGAGGGATAGGCACACGGGGGCCTGGGGAACTGAGCATAGGATGAGGCTGCCAATTTCATAAAAGCCAAATTCCCAGGCACAGGCAGGAGCTCTAGTCACGCGTTCATTTTAAGTAATCAACCACCACGGATTGGCCCCCCAGTTAAAGGATATTTGCTGAAAACACAAAGTACTGTGCTTTAAAAAAAATTTTTTTTAAAACTGAAAGCTACTGAAAGATGGTCTCTCCATTTCCTCTGACTGATAGAGGTCATGTATAAAAGGCTAGAACTACAAGGAAGTCATTTCTAATTCCTCAGCAAACCTGTAAGGAATAGCCATAGGTCTCAGGCAGAAGTTGGCACAGACATAGTCAGCTCCTAATAAATGATTATTGACTGACTGACTGTAAGACACTTAGCTGGGGTTGACCTCCTTGCCATCCTCTCTGTCTTTTCCCTCATTCTTTCCATTACTATCATCCTTTCCTATGACGACATCTCGATGGATTCAGGTTGGGTCTGTGTGCCAAAAGTGACCTGTCTGTAACGATTTTGAAGAGGTGGAAATAATCAGTAGAGGCAATCTCCTGTCTGGGGAGTATATATACACATGGCTCAGGGCGTGCTATCATTCACTGGGCAGGGGACATATCCAACACCTGGCATTCTGTGGAAAGTGCTGCAGTAAAAAGAACACTGACTTTGGAATCGGAAGACAAGTTTAAATTCCACCTTTGTCTACTTAATTAGTTAGGAATCAGTTTCCTTCTGGGTAAAATGAGAGAGAACTACATGACTTTGGAGGTCCCTTCCAGCTCTAAATGTATGATCCCCAGCATCCTGGGGTTCAAAAAGTTAGTATTATGTATTAATTATTTAATAAATATACAGAGCAATGCTCTTAAGTTCACAATTTTAATGCTTTTCATGTCACATTTTCTCTAATTTTCCATTTCCTGGGAATTGTTCTTGGTAAATTATTAGTAACTACCCTGCTGCCCCCCAATCTCCAATGCTTTAATGAACATAAATCTGTCTTGTTAATGAGAGAGACTCAAGGGCTGGTCTTAAAGGTGAAAAGATTTGATTTTGAGTCCTGCTTTTCACTCTTCCTAGCTGGGTGACCTAGGGCAAGGAATCTATTTTCTCAGGGTCTCAGGGATCTAAGACAATAAGTACAGATGAGCTGTTGAGCTGAATTGGTGGACTGAGTTTTCAAACCTGCTCCCAGGTTTGGTATCATCTCTTCCATGATGAATACACACATCTCAACCTTCTTCTCCCCCAAAATTAATGAGAAAAATCACTGAATTCCTAATCCTCTTCTGAAACTCCCAGGAGATGAGCAGGAAAGCCCTTGATGCCTGAAGTGTGACCCCAAACTAACAAACCTGATCTTTTGTGCAAAAACACCAGAACTTACAAATCCCAAGAGTATTATGACTGAGCCTGCCATTCTCAAAATATTTTGGGAGTGCTTTCTAAAAAATTGCTTTCAGACTCTGTTGCAAGTGTTTCTTTTGACTCTGTTCAGTGGTGGCAAATCTTCCTTGGAAAGCAGATTTAATTTTTAGAAATGACTAAAAGCCATTTGTAGCCCACGACTGGTGTAGGAAGTAGATGATCACCCTGAGTAATAACATTTTTTGGCTAAATGTGGGGAATGACCGTAAAGTACTGAGTCTGATTTTTTGTGCACAATTGATAAACCGGATCTGGAAGCAAATTCCCAAAGAAGCATTCCAACCAGGTTTCTCATAAGAATGGCATTATTGGAATAAACACAGAGTCTCCCATACAGCCACCAAGATGGGAGCTCTTGGCCTTTATCTAACAATGAGACATGAAGTTCCTAATAAGATATGTACAAAATGGCAGGACTCAAACAATCAATAAATATTTATTAAGCACCAACTATGTGTCAGGCACTATACTAAGCTCTGGCGATTAAAAAAGAGACAAAAGACAGCCCCTGCCTTCAAGGAGTTTACAATCCAACGGGAGGGACAACAACAAATATATACAAAACAAATATATACAAAGCACGCTGTATGCAGGATAAACAGGAAATCATCGAAAGACCGAATTAAGAGGGGTTGGGGAAGGCTTTCTGTAAAAGGTCAGATTTTAGTTGGGACTTAAAAGAAGCCAGGGAGGTCAGTAGTCAGAGCAGAGGAGGGAGATTATTCCATGCATGGGGAACAGCCAGAGAAAATGCCGAGAGAGGTGGAATAGCCAGGAAGCCAGTGTCACTGGATCGAAGAGCACGTATCTTATATGATTTT